TAGGGTGGGGACACACCACACCACGCTCTTGTTTAAGGTGCATCATTCAAGCCAGGAAAGTGGCTTCATGGTAGGGTGTCTGCCTAGCATGCATGAAGCCCTGGGTTCCATTCCTCAGAACCACATACACAGAAAAAAAGCCAGAAGTGGCGCTGTGGCTCAAGTAGTAGAGCGCTAGCCTCAAGCAAAAAGAAGCTCAGGGACAGCGCCCAGGTCCTGAGTTCAAGCCCCAGGACTGGGGAAGATACAGAATTCAAGTATAGACACCCTCCTCCCCCCACCCCAAATTCAGTAGTTAGCTAATATGGACAGGCTGGGTTTTCCTGTGGTATACACACTGAGCATCACACAGCTCCGAACAAGATGAAGATTTTTTACGTGGGAGGGCCCCTGAGGCCACGGCACTCAGAAAATCAGACACACAAGGCCCCACCGTGAAGGGCTCCATTGATAAGAAACGTCTAGAACAGGTGGCTTCACACAGGAAGGGGACTGGGGGGGGGGGAAGCTCCTGGGGTCAGGCTTCCTTTGGGGTGACGTCACACCATGTGGAGAATGAACTAGAGTGAGGAAAACAATGCATGCAATCAAAGCCTTAATACCACAGTTGTCAAAAATCAACTGGGAAGAGGATGCCGGTGGCTCAAGCCTGGAATCCTGGTTCATAAGACTCTCATCTTCAATTCACCACCATTAAAAGGCCAGAAGTGGAGCTGTGGCTTGAGCCAAAAATAAAATAAAGATAATAAAATTAAGCTCAGGGACAGCATCCAGAACCTGAGTTCAAGCCCAGGACTGGCACACACACACACACACACACACACACACACATCACAACTAGGGTTGAGGGCACAACGCTGCCACGGTGGGCTTTGAATCACCATCCTCAGGATCTCAGCCTCCTAAGGAGCTATGATGAGAGGCGTGAGCCCCCAGCATCACAAGCATTTTCTGCCTGATGACGCTTTCCCCACCCTCATTCCCCACAGCAACCTTAACAAGTAAGAACTGTTTTTATTTGTAAGAACAGAGCAGGGACTCACGCCCAGAGAGGTCAAATCACTTGCGCAAGATCACACAGCACCAACCGTGGGGCCTCAAACCAGGAAGCTCAACTCTCCCCCCCCCCTCCCCATGACGCCGCACGGTCTTCCTCACTCACGCTGCTGGCACCTGGCCCTCCTTGCTTCCTTATTTGCCACGTGCTAAAGAGAGAAGAGCGAGGGGGCCCTGGTGAGGACTCAGTGTAGCTTGGCCTGGTGCCCGGAGCACTCCACAAATGGCCATGGCTGGCAGCCACCTGGTCACACACACACACACACACACACACACGCTGACAGCACACGCTGGGTGGGCTTCGCAGCAAGGCTGGGCCCGGGGTCGGAGGTTTTTCCACACCCATGGGCTCCTCAGTGCCCCGGCATTCAAGCTCAGCCCAGGCCTGGCCAGGCCTAGCAGAGCTCCGGGGATGCTGGGGCTGGTCCAGCCAGGGCTCTGTTTCCATGGAGACGTGAGTGGGATGCTCTGAGCCCTGTAGGCCTCCATGTGCTGGGAGGAGGGAGGGGGGGAGTGTGGGTGGGAACAGGGAGGAGCCACGCAGGGCTGGTCTCCAGGGGCTCCCGCCTAGTGCCTCAATTCCTGTAAAGTAGGCCTCAAATTGCTCTTCTGGCCCAGCTGACATAAATCTGATGGTTACACTTCTGGTGGTAGTGGGGTTTGAACTCAGGACCTTGAGCTAGCTAAACGAGGTGCTCTATCTCAGAGCCACACCCCTTACTGTAAAGCCACGCCCCTACCGGTGGGCTGAGCCATCACTTGAGCCACGCCCCATCACAGATCAACCCTCCTCCCGGCCACACCCCTAGGGCCACGCCCCCTGCGTGGCCACGCCCTGCTCCTTGACCACGCCCCCAGACTTGAGCCAAGGCCTCGGCCCTTTTTCCTTTAGCTTGTGTTTTGTGCCGGTCCCGGGGCTTGAACCCAAGGCCTGGGCGCTGTCCCTGAGCTATTTTTACTCTAGGCCACTGTCTGCCACTTGAGGCCATAGCTCCATTTGGTAATGTACTGGAGAGAGTCTCAGCGACTTTCTTGCGGTGACTGGTTCTCAACTGAGGTCCTCAGCTCTGTCTCTTGAGCAGCTAGGATTCCAGGCCTGAGCCGCTGGTGCCCGGCCTTTTAGCTATTTTTGTTGTTGTTGTTTTTTTTAGCTAGCATCTAACGTTTTTTTGCAGTGACCAGCCATGGGCTTTAATCCTTCTATTGATGCTTCCCTCATAGCGGGAAAGACAGGCATGTCCCACCATGCCTGGCTTGTTGGTTAAGATGCGGTCTTCCCAAAGGAGAGGCGCACAAAGGTGCAATGCCGTGTGCATGCGGTCGCATAAAATAGTATTTATCGACATGAGCTCTAGGGGATGGAAATGACATGTTTTTCTTTGTTGCTGTTTTTGTTTTCTGTCTCATTTGTTCATTTATCTGTTTAGGGGAGGGTAAGAGGGAGCAGAAATGGAGGGACAAAGGGTGAGCAAACACAAGCATGAGATTCGCAGGGCTCTGTGTTGGACATGAACTATACGGGAAGGAAAAACTCAGAGAGAGCAGGGGAAGGAGCAACAGGATCCAAAAAGAACTGTGCTATTTCACTGCCTCATGTAATTGCAACTTCTCTGTATATCACCTTTATAATTCTTGTTGTTGATGTTGGTCTTGGGGCCTGAACTCTGGGCCTGGATGCTGTCCCTCAGCTCTTCAGCTCAAGGCGAGCGCTCTACCACTTGAGCCACAGTGGCACTTCCAGTTTTCTGGTGGTTCATTGGAGACAAGAGTCTCACAGATTTTCCTGCCTCAGCTGGCTTCTAATGGTAATCCTCAAATCTCAGCCTCCTGAGTAGTAGGATTACAGGCATAAGCCACCAGAGCCCAGCTCCTCCTCCCCCTCCTTCCTGACTTTTCTCCTGTTCTCAACATTTTGAAATCAACAAAGTGTAAAGCAAAGGGCAGGAATCAGCCAGGCACTAGGGGCCCAAACCTATCATCCGGCTACTCAGGAGGCTGAGATCTGGAGGATCAGAGTCCAGGGTCAGCCCTTGCTGACCTCTTCAAGATTCCAACTCCAAGTAACCAGCAAAAAGCTGGACTATTAGAATAGCTGCAGTGGTAGAGTGCCAGTTGTTGTTCAAGCCCCAGTATATTCTCTCTCTCTCTCTCTCACACACACACACACACACACAGAGGGCACAGGGTAAACCACAAAAAACCACTGGCTCTACCTTCTTGAGGTCCTGGTAGTGGCTATAGTGCCTTTGAGAGAAAGTGAATGCATCCACATTTTTTCTTGTCACCCAGAGTTAATGGGGGACCCAAGGGGTTCCCCTGGGACGTCAAGAAGCCCAGTAACAAGCTGCCAGGAGTGCCTGGCATGGGCAGCTTGAACTCAGTTTCTTCTTTGTAGCTTTCCAGAGGCTGCCAGCGACCTTTCCAGAAGCCAGGGCCAGCCGGTCCCTCCCATCCTTGCCCTCCTCCCCAGTGCAAACCACACGTCTCCCTCTCCCCACTTCTCCCCTCATTAGCTCTTTCTCCCAACCACCCGGACTGAGCCCTGCCCCAGGGCCTTTGCACGGGCTGTCCTTGCTCTCCATCGCAGCCCTGTGGTTTCTGCACGGCTTCCTCCTTGTCGCTTTGATTTCACTCACGGGTCCTTCCCTCAGGGACTCTTCCCAGTCCCCCGAGACTCCCTGTGTGCCCCGTCAAAGCCATCCACGGCACAGATCCTATCTACAGGTGTCCTCACCCACTTGGGGCCTGTTGCCCCCTTCTGCAGTAGAGGGACCCCCCCCCTTTGGTGGCTGGGGAGGGTGTACGAGGTCTGGAATCAGGGTCTCAGGCTCCACCGCTGAGCCCACCCCCACCCCGGTCCGTTTTCCCTTTGTGATGTTTCCGTTGTAGCCTAGCACTTCTGCTCAGGGCTAGCCTCAGACCCTGGCCGCTGTGCAGCCCCTGTAAGGGGCGGGGCCCCAGCACCAGGAAGCCTGAGACAGCCAATACCCACCCTGCATTTATGTCCACGATCAAGAAAAACCCCTCACCACTGGGCCCGGTAGCAGGAGGCAGGCTGGGGACGCTGGCTCGCACACAGCGGCTACTTTGGCCAGTCAGGCTTAGTGCGGCTTTGCATTTCTGGGTGACAATCAGGAGCACAGACCCCCACTGGCTCCACAAGCCCGCTCCCCCCTGCCCTCCTTCCCACCCACCCTGCACAAGCCTGCCCCCCCTGCCCTCCTTCCCACCCACCCTGATGTTTTCCTGCCCCCAGAACCTTCTGCTCGGGAGGGAGAGCCGGGCAGGGGGGTGGGGCCCAGGTGGAGGGGAGCAGGTGCCCGCGGCACCCTGGTCTGGGGGTCCCAGGGCAGAGGCCACAGGGGCTGGGGGAAGGAGAGATGGGAAGGGCTGGGCTTTAGGGAGCAGCCTGGCAGCCTTCCTGGCTCTACGGGCCCCCCTTCACTCCTGATCCCCCCGCCCAGGACCCCAGCCGCGTGAAGAGTGGGGGGGGGACCAAGGCCTGGGGGAACCCAGCCTCCCGACAGGAAGGGCAGGGGCAGGTCTTTCAATATGGCTTTATTTTCTGACGGGCGACTGTGCCCCCCACCAGCCAAGCCCGGGGTGGGCGGCCATCCCCACCTGTCCAGGGATGGGGTGGGGGGCGACTCGTGGCTGGCAGGACGGCCCATCCTTCCACAGGACGGAGTCGCTGGCCTCGATGGGGGGTGGGGGGGCCTGGCTGCAGGGACGGTGCCCCTGAGGTGGCCGGGTGGCCCGGACCCTCAGTCAACAGTCTTGAGCAGCGGGAGGCTGGGGGGGGTCCCCAGGGAGGCAGCGGGGGGGTGGAGGGCTGTGTCTGTGCAGATGCAGGGCTGGGCCTGGAGGCTCATGGGGTCTGAGCAGCCC